TTTGCAACCAAAAAGCTTCGATACAACAAAAACACAGCAAATGTATAGCTGCCCGTAAGGTGCTCGAGTTTACACAAAGTTTAGATTGTACTGTAGGCAAACTTGAAGCTGATGATTCAGTAAAACAGATCAAGTGTATGTAACAATTTATCCCTAAATTGCTCATTCCATTATTACTTAGCTTTTATTTTTTTGTATTTTGTTTGAAAATATTCGATTTTTTGTTTATTTTAAAAACTATTTTAAATAATGTTTTTATAACGTTTTTAATACATTTTATTAAACGTAAAGGTTCAAAATACACTGTAAAAAATTTAATTGTAAATAAAAAAAAGACTTTCATTAAAAAAAGCTACTTCATTCTACTTCAAAATTTCACTTTAATTTCAGTGTGTTATTGTCTGGTTCTTTGTAATTGTTTGTGAAATTCACTAAACATTTGTTGTGATCTTTATAGCAGATGTTTAATAAAAAAATAATAATAATAATGAAATTTTGATTACATAATCTTATTCCAAACTTTACATCTCTTCTTAAAGGTTCTCTAAGTGATCCTGGGTGTTGACGTTCGGAATATTTTCAAACAAATCAGAGGCTAGCTAGACCCTCCCTCCGCCGCATCTCATCTCCTCCCCCTCCCTTCCGTGCTTCCTGAAATAATTGTGAACGTGTATAGTTCTAGCTAATTATATCCTTGTGTGGGTTTGGCGAACATAAGCGTCAATTTAGAAGAAAAAAAAAAACAATTTAACGTTACCCACCTGTCCAGCAAAAACAGAGCAACCTGAATGTCGGACTGGAAGCCCTTCTGCCGCCGGAGTTCTCGCCATCGTTCAAAAGCTTTGCTACCGATGTAAATTCGGAACTTCGCACGTTCTTTATCCGACTCCTTCTTCTTTTTAATTTGTTCTTCAGAACGACGTCTCTTTGGTCGTGTGTCGGCCATTTTTCAAACTTCCCTATTATGCTTCTATCTCCTTCACACACACACCCCCTTCATGTGCAAGCGCACTAACCCCCCAGACCCACCCTCAAATACTTTTTGCCAATGATTGGCTGGAACACTGTTTGTTAGGTTTCGTGGTCCGGGTGAGACATGATTGTTTTTGATGCTGTTTGTGGAGCCTGTGGTGTCTACAGAGACCGCGTTTTTTTACAGTGTGTTTAGGGGACAGGCAGCTAGCCGATAGTGAGGAGACGTTTGATGTATGTGACAAAAAATGTTTTGGCCCCACATCGCTTAGAGAACCTTTAACCTTCAAATGGTCTTCGTTTCCTGTTTACACTTCTGGGCTTCGGGGTCTACACGACCCCAACAATTGATTGAGTAATTGTACAAAAAATATACATTTTTAATCATACAAATAATAAATCATTTTTTTGTTTACTTCGAATCTATTCATTAATGCTATGATTTTGGAGATATAAAGTACTAGGCCTTCATTTCTGTGTAATTTTTTTTTTTTGACACATGAAGAATATATATATACTGTATATATATATATATATATATATATTTCACATTTCCCATTCATTTCATTGTGGGGTCATATTGACCCCGAAGACCAGAAGCGTATTTTTTTTTTTACATACCTTCAGAACAACCGAATCAAGCCCAGTTTTTTTTTTTTTTTGGTGTGTCTGTATAGATAATGTATGAAAAGTCACAAAATCTTATTCCACTGAGATGAAGGGAACCTTTTTTTTTTTATTAAGTAAAAGTCGATTGGGGTCGTATAGACCCCATGACCCGATTGAGGGTTAAGAGTTCTGTGAGAAATTTCAAGCAAAGTCCAAAAGAAACTGACATTCCTACAACACAGTTGGTACCTGTAGAGATTTGGGGTCTGCCAGTCTGCCACTCTTAGTGCTGCCAGTACCCATGGTGATGGCTGTGGATAAAGATGACCGACGACTGCGAGCTGATGATGGTCTGGATGAGGAGCGACTGTCTGTCATATGCAAACATAGAAAATATAAGCTGAATCCATTATAATGTGGATCTTTATTACAACAGCTGCATCACAAAGCAGTCCAAAAAAAGAAACGAAAAAAATGTGAATTTCAAAACAGTGATTTGAATCACATGAAACTGTTGTGATAGTCTTTTCATCCTTATTGTGATGTATCCAATTGAAAGGAATAAGAAGAAAATGTAGGGCGGGACTTGATTTTATCCATCAGGATAAATTGATTGGATGATTGAGGTTTTCTATTGTTGTGATGTCATGTGATTGACAGGTTGTCCCGCCCTCGCACCGAAAAACACATCATCAGAGAAGAGATAGAGAGGGAGAGGAAGTTATTTTGATAATAGATTAAAAGGGCACATAAATTATATAATAATAAGGGCAGAGATAAATAATTTATAATAAACACTGCAATATTCTATCATAAAAACAAGAATTGTCCATTTAGATTTCATAATGACTTTAAAGTTGAACACCACAAAGCAAAAGCAAATCCTCTAAATCTTGACTAGTCCTGCACTTACTCATAATAATGACAAATGATTGCCTTAATCAAAAGGCTTTAAAAGTTCCTCCCCCACACAAACTCTCTATTGAGTTCACATTATGATGTATGGCACAAATCCAAATGAGTCCATTTCTCATCACACATGAGGGGAAATCAATAGCTAACACATTAGTTACTATACAATGGACTGTGCTAAGAAGAATGAAAACAGAATTGTTGTTTGCTTTTGTGTCAGTGTGCATGCACATGTGCAATCTGGCCAGTAAATAAGAACTGAACAAACATAACCTGAACACGCTTATTCTCATATACAAAGGCCTGGTTTCACAGACAAGGCTTAAAGGGATACTCCACTTTTTTTTGGACTCCCCCAGAGTTAAACAGTTGAGTTTTACCGTTTTCTAATCATTTCAGCCGATTTTCTGATATTTAGAAGAATATCAGTAAACAGACACTTTCTGGTCTCATTGACTTCCATAGGAAAAAAAAGTCAATGAGACCAATAACTGTCTGGTTACTGATATTCTTCTAAATATCAGAAAATCGGCTGAAATGATTCAAAAACGGTAAAACCCAACTGTTTAACTCTGGGGGAGTTGTAAAATGAGCCTATTTCCAAAAAAAAAAAAAGTGGAGTATCCCTTTAAGATAGTCCCAGACTAAAATGTATGTTTAACTGAAAGCCACTTGCACTGACATATAAAATTATATCAGTGCCATTGTTTTGTCTAAAGATGAACACCAGTCATGTTTTTGTCAAAGGCATATTTATAAAAGCTACTAAAATGTCCTAATTGAGCTAAGGCCTAATCCTGGCTTAATCTAAACCCTGTCTGTGAAACCAGGGGTTAGTGTATTTTTATTTTTTTGTGCAGACCCTGTCTCATACCTTTCCTCTGTGTTGTTTCCAGCTCGGTTCTGGACTGTGTCTGTGCAGCTGAAAGCTCAGATTGGGACTCTGAGCTCTGTGGAGGGTTTTCCAACTGGTTGCCAAAGTTCTGCCTCCTCAGTTTGGCATCAGCCTCAAGCTTCTCCAGTGCCGCGGTCTGACACTGTTCTGCTGTAGACCCGATAAGCCTGCAAAACTAAACAGCAGCCTGACAGTCACACTTTACAGTAGGTGTCTTTAACAAAGTGCTTACATAGGTAAGTTTAGGGGACAGGTTTGGTGGTTTGGGTAGGTTTAATGGTCAGCAAGAGTAGGGGGTTACAGTTGAGTTTATATTAAGGTTATGTTAGTTTCACAGTGTAATTATACTTTTACATACTAGTAAAAATAATTAACTACATGTACTTATTATAGGGTATGGGTTAGGATGAGGGTTCGGTTTAGGGTTAATAGCATATGCAAATTCTTTTAGTTATCAGTAACTAGCCTACATGGAACAGTAACAATAACACTAAACAATAAAGTGTTACCGAGTAGGGTTACAGATATGAATTACATGCAGATATATTCTTTAAATGTAAGTAGCTACAAGGTTAAAACATATGCGCACAACAAATGCATTGTATCAAATGTTTAATTTAAATGTTAGAACATAGTAGTTAAATATATTTAATATAAAGTGGGACCAGCCTGGCTAATTCAACTCAACTATACTATAATTAGTCTATTTACAAAAAGTGAGCTGTCAAGCCAATGCTTGGAGACCGTACCTCTGCGTAGTCTAACTTTCCATCTTTGTTGACATCTGCTAAGGAAAAGATTTCATCCACTTCCTCGGGTGACATTTTTTCACCAGACTAAAAAACAAACAAATCAAAATCCAAACCTGAAATGATTACAATAGACACAACAAAGCTGTTTCCCAATTCATCCTTCGAAGGATGCAGCCACCTCTGAATTGGGACACAGCTTATGTTTGTGAAGACAGAATTGATTTAACACTTACCGAAGTAAGGATTCTGCTGAGCTCCTCGTGTGAGATATATCCATCAGAATTTACATCAAATTTCTTGAAAATTCTCATAAGCTCATCTTGTTCTGTTGGTTTTTCCTTTTTAACGATATCAAAAAAGTCATCGAAATTCATCTTCTTAGTTCCTGGGGGCCAATATTTGTCTAAAGCTTTCTGTGATGGATTTCTACCTGCATGCTGAAGAACTGGGACAAAACAGCAGAGATGATTAACCTAACCTAACTCAGTGATAAATTATAATATTTTGTACTGACATTAGATACCACTATAAAGTCATTATAAAATATTTAAATGTTGACTAGTCTATTGGTGTTTGCATTACATATTATATTATTTGAATGTACATGATGATTATCTACAATATTAATAATGTTTGTTCATTACAAACATTAAATTATAACTTAAGTAAGTTAACGTTTGACCGATTTATTGGTCTAATCGATAATATTTACCCTTTGTATTAAAGATCAACGTGCAGATATGAAGGTGTTGAGATGCATTATGCTCACCGGTGCACAGCTGATCTTTTGAAGTCATATTAACCAGGCTGGACCTGAACACGGAGAGATAAGCAGCCCTGCACGCCATATACAACCTCTCTTCCTCTGAGCGCTGCATTATGAAAATATTGTCAACATGCAACCGATATATCAAAGCATATTGTAATAATAGCTGTGGGGAAGAGAGGTGAGTCTGTAGGCTATTTTATGGTTGGTGATGTTGTTCACTATTGAATATGATTGCCATGGCTGCTGTGTGTAAACAAAACCCTCTTCAACGGTGCGCAGTTTAAAAGAGATAAAGGAAACACATGCTTTCAAAGCGTCCCATGCAATATTTATTAATTAGAAATGCTGTGCTGTATTTGTGATATAAACTTAGCAGGTAAACCCATCGTTACTCTAACGTTAACAATATTTTGTCATGGTGTGTGAACTGTTCGGTAAAATGGAGTTAGACACTATAGAAGCACAGATGACTGTTTCCGGGGAACTAAATTGCTGTCGCACCGCGCCAAAATATAAATAAAAGCGGCACTGCAGTGCGTCTTAATAACTTCAAGAAAGAGATATCGACTTCAAGACGTAAATATTTAAAATGCCGTAAGTGTATACATTCATTGGGCTCACATATAACAACTGAAGTGGCATATATTTGTGATCAAGCTACCTTAACGGAAAAAGTACAGTGATAACATAAGATGGTAACTAAACTTGCTTTGCTATCATGGATGCTTGCCATCATGCTATGATGGATGCTTTGCTATCATGGATGTTTTTTTAAGACTGCTATAAAGTTAACATTTTACCAGTCCAAGAAACAATGTTAGTACCATGATACTTTTTGGAACCCATCATGTGGTTAACGTTAAATGTCAGACTTTTTGTACAGTGTTTTAGGATAAATCATGATTCATTCAAAATACCTAGTTCAGTAAAAAGCAATGTGTAGGAAAAACTGGTATACATAAGTTACACATATGATATATTCTTGTAGGGATCATCCACATAAAGCAATATAGAAAATGCAAGAACAAAAAATCAAGACTAAAGTTCTGCTGTCTAATTTCCCATACAGTGTGAAGAGAGCCCTTCATTTACATGACAAAGAAAACGTAAGTTTGCATAATTCTCTACAATAGATTTCAGATCTAAAATGGCCTTTTCCTATTCTTTAAATGTTTATTATTTAAACAATTTTTTTGACTTAATTACATATTATGAAAGTGAAGGAATAAGGCTTTTCTGCTTTAAAGTTCAACAAAAAAACTATACAGAGATGTTTTGAAGGATGTAAATGCTTGATTTTCATCTATTTTAGAGCCCCGCTAAGAGACATGCGCCAAACAGGAACAATTCGCCTATGACTGGAACTCGATTAACAAAACCTGCAGGTACTAGGAAACACAGTCCAGCTACTGTGTCCTCTTAGTCCTACACAAATCACATTTTGCCCCCTAGGAGTTTTCATTTTTATTTTTTTATTATCAAGAGAGTAAGACGTATGTGTGTTCTATTCGCTTTTGATTATCATCACCATAAACGGATCCCCTGCTCGTGTCATGTTGTTTCCAAAATCCTGTACAGTAGGGGTCTCTTGTAATCCACTGATAACGCATTTAGATTAGCTGTCTGTGTAGCCATTAATAATATCTTTGCTCATGCCGATTTGATTAAATGGCTGACATTTAGTGCTTCATCAGCAGGTAATTCTAGAGCAGGTGGGAAGAAAATTAATCCCTCTCAAACAAAAGAGCCCATGACAGATGCTGAGAGGTAAGGATAAAGAAATGTTGATGATTTCTGTCATTTTAGTAATAATGTTTAAGATTTAAATAAAAAAAAAAGTACTATAAAAGCACACTTTATAATGTTTAATTAATGGCCCATGCTTTAATTTTTGAAAGTTAGAATGCTTTTGTTGAGTTACTTTATTCAACTTCTTACTTGAAAAACCAGAGTGTCATCAAAGTCTATTTTTATGAAGCTACTAACATTGGTATAACTGAAGCAGTGGAAATGTCTCCTCATTACTGGATATTTCCTTTGTCCCAGTTGGCTGATAGCCATTATGACTGATCAGAATTTAATGACAGGACATGGAGGGAGTTTCATCACCAGCCAAAAGCCTCGTTGATTTACATAGCACTAAAAATAGTTGGATAAGGAGAGTTTAAGAAAAGACCTATTTCCTCTCCAACGCATACTAACACAGAGCTTCGTGTGATCCATCAAGACAAGCATTAGTTTTGAATTTTATAGTGCAGTCATTTAAGAGGAAGCTAGTTAAATATATATAAAAACATCAATAAAGAGTGCGGGCTTATGATTCATTTAAGAATGTATTCATTTGGCGAGTCAAAGATGAGAGAACTTCTTGTGCAAAATGTAGAAGAGATCTCGAGCGTGATTGGACGAAGGACCTTGGAAAAGATTTTGCAGACTCTTTAATATGTCCCCCAATATGTTTAAATGTGTATTAAAAATAAATGAATATCTTATTCTTAGTCAGCTTTTCCTCCCCTCAAAGATTTAGTGGAATATGAATATGATCCTATGTCCTTATCAAGCAAATATTCTGCAAGAATCTAATAATGTAATGCAATATATTTAATTAAAAATTTTGACATGCAGCACATGCTTAGCAATTCAATAATAATAAAAATAGATTAATAAATATTGTATTAAAAATGAATAGTTACACTTCACAATAAGATCTCATTAGTTAATGTTAGTTAATAGATTAACTGACTTTAACCAACTAATACTGAGCAATACATTTGTTAAAGTATTCTTAATCTTTGTTAACATTAGTCAACTCGGGTCCATTAAATAATATACAACTTTTGATTTTAATAATGTATTAATAAATGTTGAAATTAGCATTAACTGAGAAATAATAGAATATTTTAAATGAGTGTTTTTTTTATTGTTAGTATCAACTATTGTAACTAACGTTATTGGAAAATGTTACTAAATTGTTGTCTATTTTTTTAATAGTTTTTTTTTAATACCTTTCCCCCATCAGACTTCTGTTCCTCAGGTCTAAGGTGAAAAAGTCTCTCAAGGATCTCATGAAATACAGGCAACAGCTGGAAACATTATTGGTACGTGGATCGACTATAGTAGAAGACCACAGTGTATCATGTAGTAGTGTATTTATTTATTGACTGGCCAATTAGACTACTAAACTAAGACTAAATCAGGGTCTGAACCACCATAAACATCGAGGAGCTTCATACCTGCCAATATTTAAATCAGTGGTTAACTGATGTGCATTTTTATGTTTTTTATCTAACCTGAATATGTGGTACTGAGTTACTCGAATTACTTAACTCTGGTATTAGATTAAGCTTATTTTGATATGTGTAGCTTGGTACATCTAATGCATCTTATCAAGGTTGCACACCATCTTTTAAACACGAATGTGTTTCTCTGTAGCCAGTAGAGGGCAGTAGTGAGCTGAGGAGTCTCTTTCTGATGAGTCCTGCTGATCTACAAACTGAACTCAAGAGACATGAGAATCTGTGTGAGTCCTTTCTTTGACTTTTCTGCTGTATATGCATAAACTGCATAATGCAAATGCCTCGCATCTCAAGGTCACTTTATAGACCTTGTTTAAACACTTTATTTGCTTTTAAGAGTTCACATGACAAATTCCTGCTGCGTGTGAAACATAAAACCGATTTTTTTTTTTATTGCTTTCCAGCTGCTAAAGTTGCATCTTGCGCACATAGAGCAGACACAAACAAGGGTCATTTCCAAGGTGAGTGAATTTGGGAATCAACTGAATATTAGAATTGAATTCAAAAGTTTATTTATCATTTAAAAGCATGAACAATAACACTTATCTTAAGTGGATATCCAAACTTGGTAATTCTGTCAGATCAGATAGCAGCCAGCACACAATTAGTTATGTTTCAAATCTTGAATGTTTCCCCACCACAACACACTCTTTGTTAGACTCTGACACAAGGATAAGTTACGTCCCGTATTGAATTGATTCATATTACTGTATGATGATTGTAACTTTGTCTAATGGAGCAAGAGAAAGAAAACATTTTGTGTTCCACTTATATGTGAGTCATGATTGATTTCAAGCACCGAGGTTCTGGATCTTGGTCACATGGGACCTTTGAATAGCCATTTACGAGATTTGGTTTGTCAATGCGTCGTGCTCATTGACATTTGCCCGATCTCTTCACAGATAAAAGGTTGTCTTTTTCTAAGAAAAACATTTCATTTTCCTAACACAAACAAGCCAGAACTCCTCTTCATGGGACAGAATTAATTAGATTATTTCAAGCACACATTCAGCCCCTAGCAAAGCTGCACTTGTGATTCAATCGCACAATAGTGATTTGATGCAACACAATGGCTGGATTGTGATGAAGTTCAGCATGTTTTTAAGATAAGGTCGGCTGAAATTGTTTTAATTAGTCACACTCGAGGACCTTTGCGTATATGTTGCTTGTAGCTCGACACCAAAGGAATGTCACAATCTTGATCACATGGTGGAGCATGAAATTTATCAATGTAGAAAACAACAACAACAGTACAAGAGTGTTTTCACATTCACGTCCCTAGACATACACTGGCAATAAATGAGTTAAGGCCACTTAGGAGTGTAATGTTTGATTGTGTGTCAGAATGTGAAATTAGGACACCGAACCAATTATTATATTATATTATATTATATTATATTATATATTATTTACCCAACGTTTGGGGTCAGTAAATTCTTTTTTAAATTAGTACTTTTATTCAGCAAGGATGCATTAAACTGATCAAATGTGACATTAAAGACATGTATATTTTTAAAAAGAGATTCCTCTTTTAAATAAATGCTGTTGTTTTGACTATTAAGCAGCACAAATGTTTTCAGAATTGATAATAAATCAGCTTATTAGAATGATTTCTGAAGGATCATCTGACACTGAAGACATTTTTACATTTTTAAATATATTCAATTATATATATATATATATATATATATTATATTATATTATTGTAAACATTTTAATTTGGCATTGATTTTTTTTCTGTCATTTGTGTTATGAAATGCCTTTTTCTGTGTTGGAATTGTACACTCGAATTACATGACAATCACAAAATATTGCGATAGTCCATGAAAACAAATATTTTCACTGCAAGTTTCAGTTATCAAACTGAACTTCTGAGTATGTCTATTGTCCTATACAAATAATGCGTTTTGTTCTCGTTGCATTTTAGTAGGATTTGTATAAGTTTGAAATGACCTCATTGAAGTTCCCTAAATAGTGTTTGAATCTAGCCCAGAATAACTATTTTTGGCAGCAACGTTATTAATCTTGAAATAAATGACAATCACAGTAAATAAATGCACTGTACTACTACTGCTATGTAAGTAGTTGAAGATGTTGAAACACTCTTGGGACACCATTAGATCCTGGCCCTAGATTTCATAGAGACACCTCATTGCTATTAGAGTTCTCAAACACTCAGTGTCACTTGAGCCATACAGGAGCTGGTGCGGATGACATATGAGGGCGAGGATATGACACTACTCGTGTAAAAGCAAGCTGAGCACCGGGCAGCATGATACCGCCAAGACAGCTGAGAAAATCCACAAGGATATTTTAACTTTGACAGTCAAACCGCTGAATCCATGTCCCCTTCCAACCCCCGGCAATCATCTAATGGCTTCCCAAAACACAACCTTGCGCGAAAGGGCAACTCAACGAGCAAGATGTTTATGGCAAAACTGACAAAAGTTTTTTTTTTTTCCCCAAGCATTCTAGAGGCAACCCCTCCTAAACAATCAGACCGACTACACATTTTCTGGCTTATTCAGGCATTACCAAGTCCCCAGCTTCACGTTACATGTTGCTGATGAGCGCAAAATGGAAAAAGAGAGAGCGCAATAATTCTGAGGCAAGTTTGTCGCCTGGACCGAGGGTATTGATTATTTCTGTGTGGCGAGAGATTTGGAAAATTCAATTAAAGGAGCTGAGCAAAGGATTCATAAATCGGCCCCTGCCTCCACCTCTTCTACGCCTATACGGAGACATTGTTATGTTCTAAATCAATGTTGCACTTCACAATATATTTTCTTTGGAGCATGGAAATAAATAACATTTAAACAGTTCTGCTTACCGCTGAAACAAATTTTATCTTCACCGAAGCCCTCTCTGTCTTCACGCGGCGGCCTCCCGTACACATCAGCAGATGTAGTAACAGATTTTTATGGCAAGTTTTCCATAAGAAAATCCCATATAATATGAATTTTGCGATGACAAAATGAGAAGGAAGGGGACGGATCAGCAGTATAAAAATTGATCAGGCCGCAGATGGGGTCGAGCTGTGGGAGATTTGTAAGACAGCCTTAATAGACTGTATTAAAAATTCCTTAAAATGTAATAAAACAAATAGGTTTTTGGTTCTTGGCTGGGACGGGGTCACAGACCCTGCTAATACCACATCAATCCTGGGCTGCTGAAGGATAAATGGCGTCTGTTTGGGGAACATTTTAGCCTTTTTGATGGAAAAAAACGCCATCACAATTAAAGGACTGCTGTATATTAGAGGACTTTGGGTGGAGAGGGTGAAGTTAAGCAACTCTCAGCATGCGTTTTGGTCTCTAATATGAACCCTGGTTATGTCCACACGCGTCCTGCAGCAGTATGAAATGCATTCAGAGGCATTTCAGATCATTTGCATTTAGATCATCTAGCAGTGACAGCGGCAGCAAACCTATGACTGATGCCATGATTTACCTGATAAGTTACATGTGCACACGTCTCATTCATGAATTCACTCTCATGCTCTTAAACTAGATAAAGTGTGTGTTAATCTATCCATGTGTCTTTTACAGGGTTGAAACAGACTGGCAGCTCTTTTGAATTTCTTAAGGCAATTTTAAGGTATGTTTTGTTTTTTTCCTACCAACCATACATCATTGTACTCACTTAAACTTTTAAAGCTTGTCATATTACACAGATTCCAAGCAATCCTACAATTTTACAGTAATTAGTGGTGTTTTTATAGAGTAGGATGGGCTGTTTTGACTTGGCCTAACCTAGCAACCACACAAAGCCCCCTAGCAACATGCTCGCAATCACCCAGAACACCTTAGCAAACGCATAGCAACAAACTGGCTAAGATTTTTGTGTGACATCTCTCGAATGTTTTTCATGTGGTATCATAGGACAAGAGAGTTATTTCTACTTGAATTATGCTTAAACAAACAAATATTACTTTTTTTTTTTTTTTTTACAAATTTGATCATTTTAGAGTAATTTTACAAAACAACTACTTTTCTAAGTTTCTTTATTGACAAAAAATAGTGCTTTCAGATAAAAAAAGTACACACACACAGACACTTATATATTTGTTGTATTTTTATATTTTTCACCTTTAATTTACAATGAATTACATTCAAAATGTTTAACTATATCAGATAAATGATGTTCTAATCATCAAAATCAATGTTTCTTGAGCACCAAATCAGCATATTATAATGCTTGTAAAGGCTACTGAAATGTCAAATATATTAAAATAGAAAACCGTAATATTTCTCATTACTGTTTTTACAGTATTTTTGCTCAAATAAATGCACCCTCAGTGAGCATAAGAGACTTCTTTCAAAAACATAAAAAAAAACCTATCATAAAACTTTTGAACGGTAGTTTAATTCTATCAATCCATTCAATCTCAGGCTTAAATATTAATGTAATATGCCAGAGATTTACAAAGACTTTAACATGCAATATGCTTTTGTTTCATGTAATTCTGTGAGCGGTTGCAAATGGAACGTTTCTTATTTTGGCAGAGCTGCAGCTCTCTGTCAGCGTGTTTGATGTACACCGAACGTCCCGTCAGTCTGAAAGCTTCGAGATGTCTGAGGAGGCTGTCAGTCTTTCCGACGTAGTCTAAATGAGACAGCGCCACCGACACCTTGCCATCCCATCTCAGACACATTTACATTCAATTCTGAAAGGTCTCCCCCCCACCCCCTTTTCACCAGAAATCTGACAAAATGTTGATTCTACAATACACGGTGTGCTGCGTCTCTGCGAAAATAGTGTTCTTACCGCTGGCATACAGTCCCATTAGGGCTGATGCAGTGAGATATGTATGCATAGTTACATATATTTGAGAAAGCCACAAATGTGTTGAAAAACCACACACGCATATACTGGAGGTAAAAGTATTCATTGTTGATCTGTCTCTTTATTTTGGCAGCCGCTGAGGGATAATTTCTCGATGTAGGACATGGGCGGCAGCTGGTGCCCGCTCAAGGTGGATCACGTAACTCTCTCTTTATCACTTCTAGAGGCTGTCTGAAGGACAAAAGCTTAGGCTGACCTAACAAAACACACACTTGTCACACACTTTGCATTGCTACGGTCTGTTGAGATGAACAGGAACGGCATCTCAGAATTCAGCAATTTTGGTCTGTTTGCCGTGGGCTGATAAACTCACTGAGTTCAATATTTTTAACCAAGCACGTCATGCAAGATATGGTTATTTAATATTGGCACCATCCATTAAAATTGTATCACGCATCCTACTTATTGTGGCTTGCCGTTTGTTTTACAGGAAATTGTGTAAGACAGTCAAACAAAAACTGATTCATTCTTTCCTGATCCTATGTGGCGGCTGCAGACCTCGCTCGGGCTGTAACACACTAGCCCCTTTGTGACCTGATAACATTTATAGTTGTAATGGATTTTTTTAATGGCCGTCATTAACTCGAACAAAGAGGGGTGAGAAAGATTGCTTGTACTTTTTTCCCCTTGGTATTTCAGCTTTACAGCATTATGTTCTGATATGTCTGCTTCCATCATTTTTGTTTTACAGCTCATGAAGTTGAAGCATTTTAATGCGTAGCTTTAATACTAGTCTTTAGTCACGGCCAAGATGATTACACTGTGTTAATGAATATTTCTCTTCATCTACTACTTGGAAAAGTCAATTCAGTTCATACTTTTTTCTTAAGTTTTGTTTATTTGATGAGAACTATTGTTTAGGACTACATGATTAATCAGAAAAAAATTATGTTTTATATGATATGGCTTAGTGTGATTATCTAATCAGAAGCTGTGATTTTAAATCATTGGTCACCCGTAAGCCAATCACATAACGCAATCACCTCTCTTTCCAACTTAAACATCACCTCCATTCAAAATGTTTAACAAACACTCTTCTTGTTCGGGCTTCAGTTTGCAAATGCCGGGAATATTCTCCACAACAACAGAGCGAATTGCATCCCGTGTCTCCATATCCGCTAATTCATTTCCCTAACCTAAAATACAATCTTAAACTCTGTTCGTTGATTGGCCGGCTGTTTTCAGATCGGAGGAAAACCAAAATTGAGAGATAGGTCACTATCTCAAACCATAGACTGTAAAAAAAACAGACTGTGTACAGAAGCGAACTGACATTGAGCAGAAGTACGAAGTCTGACGTAGTCAGTAGGGGTGTAACAATACCCTCATGTCACGATTCGATACATATCACGATACTGATTTACGATACGATATTATTGTGATACTCCAAAAGGTTAAGAAAAAAATGTACTGATGATTAAAATGCTAAATTTGATATTACATTGTGGGTTTAAATGAATAGGCTTGGACTTGGTGCTTATTAGTCAAGGACAATAATGACGCCAGAATAAAAATATTCATGATTCTGAAGCTGGAAATACAAAATTATTTTAGATGAAAATGCTCTTTCACTGACTGGATATATTTAAAATAATGTTGGCCATTTTTTATTGATAACATCAGACATATGACATTATCAGGACCAACAAATATTCCCATATTGCATTATTATACATTATAATCAACATTATATAGTAGTTAAAATGTAGTACTGGCACTAAAACGCTGAAAACTAGAATTTTTTTTCTCACACAGGGGGGGGGGGGGGGATGATCTACGATACATATTGTCATTATCCACAATACGCATTGTTGCATTTTTTTTTTGTATTGCGATATATTGTGGCACCATTTATTGTTACACCCCTAGTAGTCAGGCTAATATATAGTATTTCTAATTTTAATATTTTTTTAATAACATCTATTATAATAAACATTATTTTATTTGTAATCACATTACTTATTGAAAGATACATCAACTTTTTTCCCGTCTTAAATCCATAATCGCAATATAACTTAAGTGTGATTATCAAATCGGAAAAGCTGTGATTTGATTAAATATATGGGCTAATTCATAAATATTGTAATTTTTAAAATAAGTACTGTACAACAATAATAAATTATTATTTATCTTAAACACTTATTTTAGTGAAAGTTATATTTTTATTATTTTTAATTAATTTAATTATTATTATTCATATTTTTGGTAAATTGCTATATAATAACAGATATGTTGGAAAAATTATGTAGCCCCATAAACAAGGACAACAAACCTGCAGCTTTAAAAAGAAATAGAATAATTGATAGGTAATTTGAAAATCCTGGAGACAATTTAATTTGGTACAAAAACATTTAATGGTGTATCAAAAATGTTAATAAAAATGTCAGCACAAGCAACCCCTTTATGGCCAGGTCATTTACACAATACCAACATCCCACTGACTGAATTTGTCTCTAAATTGTACAAGTGAGAGAAAAGTCTGGCAGAACTGTATCTCCTTTCATTTAATTCACTCTTCCCAAGCAATACGCCCAAACTTCATTAGGAGGAAATTGAATTTTTCCAAACTATTCCCATCCTGTTCTATTCTAACCACAGGGATTGTCCTCTTTTCACCAACATCCTGGCTGTAGTTCTTCTTTTGACAAATAATGTCTTTGAAGACAAGTTTCAGTTTGTTTTCTTCTGGCTCTTTTTCCTCGGTGGCTCCGTCAACTGGACTAGGTTGAAATATATGATGAAGCCTAGAAAGTGCAGAAAGGAGAGAACGGAGACCAGAACTGGAAACAGATCAGGCAACTTGGCCGGAGGCTCCAACCACACGCTCATAAAGCTCAACGCAGCCATGGCCACCAGTGAAAACCAGAACTGTAAAAGACAAAGTGAACAACACTTACACAGTATTTCCTTTCCTATGAGAGGAAATATGACAAACATTCATTAGTCCTAGTCAAGTTCTACGACAACGGCAGTACACAGATCCTTGTAACTTGATGTTTATTTTCCACCCTGTTTTAGGACGGCGAGTTATAAACATTAACATGTCTATTTATGACAGATGGAGTGAAGGATCAGTGGAAGTGCTGGTGTGAGCAACACGACCCCCCAATGAAACTCTACCTCCATCGTAGGGCCCCCTTATTTATGTCTCTTGTGTAAATAAATATATCTAGGCAAACCTGTGTTAATGACTCACGCTACACAAATAGCACACCTTCTGATCTCGAACATTCACGCAAGGAGCTGTTGAAACGTTCAGTCTTCAAAGGCACTAAGAAGAGCATGGGGTCAAGCTAATGTGAAAGTTATGGCCCGTTCAAGTGGCCTAGTGCGCTTAACTGACTTCTTCATAAGCGTCGAATTCATTAACGTCAGTGGGGTAACGGGCCGTGACGTCAGCGTTAACTTACTTTCCATTTAATGATGAGGCTGAGTTTAGGCAGACAGTGCCGAGTGAGTTTGTGGTAGAGGCCCAGCCTGAGCTCTTCATCTGTAGTTCTCTCTAAAGCAGAGAGCAGATACAAACTCAGAAAGAGGAACGCAGATGAGGTCACTGCATAAGGCAACAGCAAACCGTCCTTCAACAGCAGGGGGAGCATGCTGGAGAGAAAACGACTGTGTTAAAAAACGTTCAGAATTCAGAATGTGCACAATAACTGATTATGTATCGCTATGTATTTTTTGATACAGCTGGTGTTGATTTTCATTTTGATCAAGATAAGTGTGCAATATTCGGCTGGTCCTATCGTTTCAAAATGGCAGCTCCCATGATGAGACCCGCTCTGTTTAAAAACTTTACATTTGGTCAATGTTTTGTCATGTCATATTCATTCATTTTAGTCAATTTTACTCAAACTAAAATAGCATTTTACAGTTTTAGAGGTGAACTCTGAGCTGACCAATGAAGCAATCGTCTTGTACATATGTGTACTGACACCTAGTGGTGTGGATGTAGAATCACGCAAACTGGCGTAGGTTCGCAGGGGTGTCCAATCCTGCTCCTGGAGCTCCAACACACTTGCTTAGAAGTTTCAAGTGAGTCTGAACACCATGCTTAGCTGGTTCAGGTGTGTTTAGTTTGGTTTAGAGCTAAACTAAGCAGTGTTTCCCAACCCTGCTCCTGGAGGCACACCAACAGTGCACATTTTGGATGTCTTCCTTATCTGACCCATATATTTCCGGTCGTGGTCTAACGAGCTGATTCAGGTGTGATTGATTAAGAAGAGTTGGAAAAAGTGTAGTGTGTGGGCAAATTCCAAATGTAAGTGAGCATCCCTATGCCCTACTCCCTTTGAAGGACAGAACCCTTGAAGTGGGGAGTGAGCAGGGCACTTGTGTCCCATTATGCAACTGTTGGGAACGCACATTGGGAATGAGACTAAACACAATGTAATTTCCACATTATTTTCAGCTGGGATTTTCCCATTACAACTCAGCAAGGTGTCCATCAGCTGAATAGGTGTTCTAATGACAGACATTTCTTATTATTGCTGTTAACATAACTGTTGGAAATAAATATAAATTTTATACAAAAAAAGTTTTTAAAATATGCATTATATATCTGTGTGTGAATATATTTTGCTGCTCTCAACTTTATTTCTTACCTATGAAACTTATTTAAAGGGATACTCCACCCCAAAATGAAAATTCTGTCATCATTTACTCACTCAAGTTGTTGCAAACCTGTATGAGTTTCTTTCTTCTGCTGAACACAAAGGAAGACATTTTGAAGAATGATTGGAACCAAACTGTTGTTTGGCACCATAAGTCAATGGAGCCAAACAACAGTTTGGTTCCAATCGTTCTTCAAAATATCTTACTTTGTGTTCAGCAGAAGAAAGAAACTCATACAGGTTTGTAACAACTTGAGGGTGAGTAAATGATGAGGGTGATTTTCATTTTCGGGTTGAGAATCCTTTTAAACATATCACAAACTCAAAATACATAGAAGGGGGAAATCTCCTCAACCACCACCAATGGGCAGCATCCACCTGGATGATATCAGCAGCCGTAGTGCACCAGAACCTCCACCATAGTGATAGAGCCAATTAGCATGTGTATGGGGATAATTAGGAGGCCATGATGGACAGAGGCCACTAGGCAAATTTGGCCAGGATTGCCAGGGGTCACACACCTACTCTTTTGAAAGACATGCTGGGATTTTTTTCTGTCCACAGAGAGTCAGGACCTCGGTTTAACGTCTCATCTGAAGGATGGTGCTCTTGACAGTATAGTGTCCCTGTCGCTACAGGTGTTAGGACCCACACAGACCACAGGGTGAGCACCCCCTACTGGCTTCACTAACACCTCTTCCAGCATCAACCTAGTTTTCCAAGAAGGTCTCCCATCCAGGTACTAATCAGGCTCAGCCCTGCTTAGCTTCAGTGGGCAACCAGTCATGGGCTACAGGGTGACATGGCTGCTGGAACAGGGTTGGTGTGCCTCCAGGAACAGGGTTGGGAAACACTGCTCTACAGGACAGTAGCCCTTCAAGAACAGGGTTGGACACCAATGGTAGAAATGCATTATTCACAGACAGGATTAACTTATTCCACAAAAGTGCCCAATAATAGCGGGGGTAACCAAGATGTGCCCAACTCCATGTGAAAAAAGGAAAACAATCAATATTAACAATATTAACTAAATTAAAAGGATTTTTAAAAAAAATATTTTTATTAAAACATACTGTTCTTGAAAATGTTAAAGGTGCATTGCGCAAGTCTCTGAGTTTTTGCAGAACTATGCCCCCTCTGGCGACAAGCGAATCTGCAACCAGAGGTGTGCATGCTCCACACGCTCACTTGCACGAGCTGTTCATAACCAAAGGAGCATCAGCCGCACAAATCTTTTGTTACAGTCATAATGTCTTCA